TTAATGATACAAATATCTACTGAGCAATAATAAGAGAGAGTTATTAAACAGAATAATTAAACCCCTGGCTATTTTCATTCTCCATTTCTAGAACAACATGAAAGTTGCACTTGTGCTTTCTAACATGCCCTTGACTTCACTTTGTTTCTCCAAGAGGTTACAGGTGGAGTCTTTGTTTCTTGATGTCATCTCTGCCCTCTGGAATGTCTGGAAGGATGTCATCTTTGCCTTCCTTTCCATTGTCTTCATAATTATCTAGCATCCTTCTTCAGTTTCCAACTGGTAGCTTCTGCATCTGCTCAGAATCCCACTGTGCTGTGTGAAATGCAAATGGAAAACCAAAGGGCTCTTTCTGCTCCACAGGACCCATTTTCCAAGTCTGGGATCAGAGGCAAAAGATGAATACAGGCAGATGGGATTGTGTAGAAACAATCAAACCACTGCCTTTTTGTGCTCCAAAGCATTTCTCAAAATACTATTATTGTAAATTTGGTGTGATCTCAGTATCACAACCAGTGTTTGTGAGGTGCTTGCCTTCTCCTCTCTCTCTGACAGACAGTTCTGCCACCCAAAGTGAATGGGGCTTTCTCATGGGCTTTTAAAGCTCCTGCTCAATTGATGCAGCTGCTGCTGTATCAGAACTGCTGTTCTGGTGTCACTTCAGTATCTTGGGGCAGAACTTCAGTTTGGTTCAGTGAAGGAAAACCAAAACAGCCTGGTTTGGGTCTGTTTGCTTGTTGGATTTTTTTTTCCTAGTTCCCTGGAGGATTAGCAATTTATGTTTTAAAAATAACCTAGCTAAAAGTTCAGCCTGCTGTTTAACCACCTATCTGCAGGATACCCCTCTGGCCAGGACATCTGCAGGGGGTCACTTTGGGCTGAGACTGCAAAAAGAATTGGCAGTACTCTTGGTTTCCCTCATTTTCCTGTTGTGACTTTCTGATTTCCTCCCAAACATAAGTTGTCCAACTTTTTTATGTCAGGCTTATTTTTTAGATTCTTAGAAGACCTCCTGCACCTTTTTTTGGACTATCCCATGGTAGAATTAAGATAGCAGGACATTGTCCTGCCTTCTTGGACAAAGCAGGTTCATGAACTCAGCTATAACAGTGTATTTGGTTCTGAGAGGAAGGCTTTGTGCTGCCAGTTATTTAACCCCTGGGTTCAGTATCATGCAAGCAGGTAAGTTTTATAGGGCAGAATGACTGGGAAGTATTTTTTCCCACAAAGGCAGGTGGTGAAATGTGTTTCTGTTTTGACTTTTAAGACAGGACTGAGTGCTTTTCATGAGGCTAATGAAGTTTGCTCATTGCCAGCACAGGGGCCTGCTCTGTTTGTCTCTTCTGGACTCCAGTGAAGTCCAGCAGCCACTGGTAACATGCACCTACAGCAAGGAGGCATTTTATTCCATTTTGGTGTAAAAATTAACCATTTTTTTTCTTGTCTGGGGGAAGAGAGAGCACATTAATTCTCCACCCCACCATGGCTTTCATGGACATTATATTCTTGTGAACAAAATCCTTTTCTCCCAGTCATAAACAATGTGAACTTAAACCAGCTCATGTTTTGCAGTTTGCTAAAATAAACTGGATGGGCAAGACAAGTCACTCCAGGCTGGGGTAGAAATAACAGTTCAGAGTGCTGGCAGATAAGCAGCAGAGCTGAGGTCTTGTTTCTGTAACACTAAGAATTTGTCTAGTGTTAGTTGAGGAGTATTTATATTCAGCCTGACATATGCACAACAGAAGGAAAGGATCCTTTTTTAACTTCTGCAGCTCTGACTTGTAGAGGTAATTCAAGGCTATAAGAGTACCACTTCTTAAACTTTTATTTTTGGAACCTCTTAATCTATTTGTAACAGAGAACAAGGTCATACAGTCCCTAGAAGCTTTATCCTTACTTCCTGCAAATCTCATTACTGCTCTGGAGCACAAACAGGCAGTAATGATGTCTTCACCCTGGACATCCTGGAAGGAGTCAGAGAGGGGGTAATTATTGGGATAGGGAGACAGCAAAATGTAGTTTAAGGAACATCTTTGCCAGCTGCTGGGCTAGAACAGGTTTCAAGCTGTGTGACAGTATGCCACAGCCAGTGCAGTGCTGGCAACACAAAACCCTTGAAACCAGGAAAAAAAAGTCCCTTCACCCAGTCACTGGTGTTGTCCAGCAATAAAATACCTGGAGCTTGTAGTGCTGGCTTTTCCTTTTGCTGCTCAACTCCAACAGGAAAAGAAGTGACCTAATTGTCACCTAGACATTTTTCTGGCATTTAATCATAATAATTAAATAATAGAACATAATAATAACCTATAACACAATATTTCATTTGTTGCCTTCCAGAAGAAGGTGCAATGAAAAGTAATGTAGTGTGTGATCACCTAAATGTGATCACTACAAATTCTGCTTGATGATTTGAGGAACAAAAGGTAGAAATCTGGCTGTGTTCTTTATTTCAGGGGGATGATATATTGTCAAAAGACATTCCTGTAAACCAACCTAGATCAATAGATACACAGTATAATTAGCCTACATATGATTTTTATTAGTAGTAGTATTAAGTAGCAGATTAGGAATAATGACTTGGGTTTGTTCTGGGTCAGCTGCTCAGTATCCTGCCAGATTATTGGGAGGGAAAAGTAATACACTAATTAAGTGTGGATCATGCAAATCTAGACATTTCAAATAATTTGGGAGATAAGAGATGGAAGACAAAGCTCATGTATTTTGATGGCAGGTGCCTACAAATAATTTGCTGCACAGTATCTTGTGGAGAACCAGCTTGGTGGTGTGGGGGTTAGGCTGGTGTAGGCTTGTTTATAAACAAGGGTGCCTTGGCTTCAGGAGAGATTCTGGGCAGAGCAGCTGAGTATAAAAGGAAAATAGGGCACACAGTGGAACACTCCCAGCAGGGGAGAGCTGCAGGGCTTTTGCTGAGGGGACATTTCTGGAGGGCTCAGAGCTGGGCACCCCTCAGAGGTGAGAACAGGGTGGAGGAGCCACGGGAGGGGACTGGCACCACACAGGCAGGGGCTGACCCGAATCATTCTCAGGAGTGAGGGCAGAGCTGGACCCTGGGAGGTGGTGCAGAGAGAGCCCTGAGGCTGGCTCTGTGCTAGCCCCTGGCTACTGCAGAGCTGGCCTGTTCCTTGCACATCAGCCACGTGCAAGTCTTGCACAACTACATGATCCTGCAGGAGGATGGGAAATGGGGCTTTCCTAATCTGAGGAGCTAATTTTATGTACGTACATAAATTTATGTAGAAAAGTATATATATAAATTATATATAAAATGCATATTAATTGCATGTAATAACACCCACAGTAACTATAATTAACGTATAACAATTACATACAAAAATTACCCACACTAACTATAATTAATGTATCATAATTACATCTCAAAATCTCTTGGGTGCAGATTTATTTACTGCAGCTTCTTTCTGGTGTGAACTGGCAGCTAAGATCTTGGACAAAACCCATCAGTGACTCTTGCTGCTCCTCCTGCAGTGGTGCTGTGTCCCACGGGAGCTTCTCCTGCTCCACAGGGAGCAAACATGAACAAAATTTGATTTACAGGGGGGCTTCCCTGCTGCTTGCTGCCTCAGCCAGCCAAGGAGAGAGGCACCTCAAGTCCCTGGCTGCTCACTGCTTGCTCTCCAGCCCTCGGGAAGCTGGGTGGGTGTCTGGTTGCTCTCACACTCCAGGTCCTGACATTTCCTGGCCTGTGCCAATTAAAAATAGCAGCTGCTGTTGGTTCTGGCTGTGGGGTGGCTGCAGCAGAGCAGGGTGGGCACTGCTGCCCTCCCTCCGAGGACACTCCCCGGGGGTGACTTGAAGAGGTTTTAAGTAAGTACTCGAAAGCCTCAAGAGCACAAGAAAGGAAAAAATCTGGTTTGTGGGTGCAGGAAAGGGAAGGCTTGGTCTCTGAAATGGGATTCTTGGGGGGTTTTGCCCTTTGGCATTAAGGCAGCATTTTTGAAGAGGTTTACTCAGCTCATTAACATTACATTACCTGCATTCCAGCTGGCAAACAGCACAACTAAAGCAAATTATGCAGAGAAGGAGGTTTTGGTGTTGGCTCTGAGGTCAGGGTGTGACTGTCTCTGGGTTTAGGATGTTTTTTGGCATGGGGTTACTTGTGGTCTAGCTCTCTACTCTCCCTACAAGTACCATAAAAACTCCTGTAGGTGTTTCTCAGGTTGGACAGATGAATGTAGAGCAGGTAGCTGCTGGGATGGGACATGTGTTCAGGAGAACCTTTGACAGAGAAGAGAGAGGATATTAAACTGCTCTTGTGATTTCATTAGAAAAATAAAAGTGGTTATAAATGTAATCCGTGATTTGGGCACCTTCTTAAACATAGTTGTGGTACTGGGAGGTTTAATTAAAATTATTTCAGACAAATAGACTTTTTCAGATGCCTTCACCTTCATGTGAACCATCAGCCTCTGCTGTGCTCATCTGGGAACCTAGGCAGAAACCAGCCAGGTTGGAGAAACCTGAATTGCAGCTTTCCAGAATCAGTGAAGGAAAGAAACACATACAAAGGTCCTTGTGTTACCAGTTACTTCTCTCAGGGTCAAAGCAAATTGCTACTGAGCCATCCAAGATTGCTTCCCAGGGCTGGAGCCACCAAATCCAGCTTAAATGTTTCTGTGGTGGTTAGGAGGTGGTGGTGATGGTGAACTCTTTAAATATTAGTGAGACTTCTGTTGTTTGAGCTAGCAGTTAAACATGGGCTAGTTTATCCTTCCTTGGGAGGGAAGAATGAATTGCCAAAACTGGAGAGAAAGAAGGTGCCTTGTTAGGCATGAATGAAGGGGTTTTGTAGAGGGATCAGCCTTGCTTGAAAGAGAAGTGCTGCATGGTTTAACTTCCTTCAGCTCAGATTTCACAGGGCTCAACCTGCTTTTATATACTCAGCTCCACAGGACACCACCTGCAGTTTGCTGGAAAGATCACGCCCACAGATTCCTGAATTTTGGTTTCTTCTCTCTAAGATTATTACAGCCCTGCCATGTTGGGGCTGAAAACTGATCAGGAAGTCCTGGGAGAACTCGTGAGGATGAAAGTGCCAGCTGTGGCAGAGCTGATGGAGAGACACGGGGTGATGTGGACCCTGGTGGTGTCACGCTGGTTCATATGCCTCTTCATCGACGTTCTGCCAGTGGAGGTAAACACCAGCCTGCACTTCTAACACACACTTGTGAGCCCTGCTCCCTCTGTGCTGCTGCAGGGACAGCTCCTGGAGTTCTGCTGACCTGAGTTCTCCCCTTCCCTGCAGACCGTGCTGCGCATCTGGGATTGTTTGTTCTACGAAGGGTCGAAGATCCTCTTCCGCGTGGCCTTGACGCTCATCAAGCAGCACCAGGCTTTCATCCTGCAGGCCACCAACTTCCCTGACATCTGTGACAAGTTTAAGCAGATCACCAAAGGAACCTTCGTGACAGAGTGTCACACCTTCATGCAGGTAAGTGCTCTGCAGCTTGGAGTTGTTCCAGCTTTAATACCAAGGCTGGCTTAGAGGTGTTCTCCTCAGTCAAAAAAGAGGGATACATTGAGGAGAAATGTAGTTGTGGGAATTGCCAAAAGGATGAAAAATGGCTTTGCATCACAAACCTTTCTAAGAATGTTGGAAAAGAATTATCTAAACCCATATATAGAAATCCATTCACATTCTGTCACACAGGGGAGAAAATATTTTGTTGGCCTTTTTACCAGTTAAGGCAGGAAATCTGCCAAGATAACTTTAGCACATGATTTCAGTGAACTATGGGTGGTGTTCCTGTGCTTTTTCAAATGAATTGTAATATGGTCTTGTTTAGTATACAATAATATGTAATATTATTAACAAATAAGACACAAAATGAAGTTTAAATGTCTATTGATAAATCTTCATATTACCAGGATATAAAGCATTCTATTTAGAACAAAGAAATAGCACCAAAAAAATCAACTGTTTCTTGCAGTTACCCTGAGTAAAACCAGTTTATTTTATCTGCAGGGACTAATGTAGTGACAGGGCTTTGAAGACAATTAAACAATTTAGGTGAGGTTCTTAGCAAATTTGAAACACTTGTAGTTTTGGATTTGTTTGGGGTATTTTTCAGCAGCACAGATACTAGTAGCAGGAGAGGTGATGATGATGATGAATATTTTATGCCTCCCTCCCCTGTACAGAAGTTTAGTTTTTAGTTCCATGCAATGCAAGCTGCTTCACCAGAGTGCTGCTCAGAGCTGTTTCATGTACACCCTCATCTCCAGAGCTGTCAGCCACATTACAGGGACCTGTGACAGCACTCACCTCCCTTTACACTCCTCCTACCAGCACCAAGGACTGTCACAGCACAGGTACCAAGGCAGGGGCTCCACACTCCAGAGGATCACATGCAAACACCAGCATCTTGTCCAAAGCCACCCTTTTAACAAAAGCCTTTCCTCCCCAGAAAATCTTCACAGACCCTGGCAGCTTGTCCATGGCCACCATCAACAAACTCCGAGAGACCTGCAGGGAGCAGGTGCTTGCTCAGGGATAACTCCCCAGGGGTGACCAGGTGCCACTGAGACATTCCTCTCTTTGCACTGACTAAAGCACACTTTAAGCTTTCCATGAGTTAACTGACACGACCAAGTTTTCCTGCCTTTCAAGTAAGTTGTTAATGCTTTGTACTTTGTCAGACTTCGTGAGTGGAGCTGGTGGGTCTGTGGTTGGTTGTTGTGGTTTGGGGCTTTTTTTTTTTTTTCCTCCCAAGGACTGAAGTGTTTCCAGAGTGGAATGTGAGCTGTGTGTCAGAACACTCCTTTAAAAACAAACATGTTTCCATCCTTGTCTTTTCAGGGCATTTTGTAATGTTAAGTGAAAAGAGGTGTATAAAATTACATATCCCTCCTCCTGTATTAACTGTGACATCACTGTCATTTGTACAAAATAAATTAATTTAATTTGTTCAGAACCAGTCTCATGGTGTGAAAACAGCTGATTCTCCTCCCTGACTGCCAGTGGCTGGCTGGAACACGAGCCTGTTGGCTTGCTGATTCTGGTGGGAGAAACACTTGTGAACACAAAGAGGCTTCTTGAGAGGGCGACCACAGGAAGAAGGTCCTGAAGCTGGAAGGTCCATGGGAAGCTGGAGCTCTAAGGCAAGTTCAGACGGCGCTGGGGTGTCCTCACAGAGCCCTCTCGTGGCCAAGTCCCTGCCCTCCCGCCCAGAGGCAGACCCTGACTGGAAAGAGACCAGCTATCGGATCAGCTTCATTTAGCCAACACTGCCGGCAATCCACAGTGCCCAGGCACCTTCAGAGGCAGGCAGGAAGCACAAGGTTCATCTCCAGCACACAGCACCCCCCACAGACCTCGGATGACACGGTTCCTACTCTGGTAAGAATCCAACTTCAAAATAAAACACAATGCCATTTACAGGGTATCTTAGCAGCACTCCCAGGAAGCGATGCTGAGCAGGGCACACACCACCCTGGCCCCTCTCAGCAAGTGGCAGCTTAATGGAACAGTTCATTTCTCCAGATCTCAGATTACTCACACACAGGACCTGTTCTGGACTTTGTGCTTGGCAACAGGGGACTGTTCTGAAGATGCACACACAGCTAAGCCTCACCTTTGTGCCAGAGAAAAAACCACAACTCCAGGCTAAGGCTTGTTTCAAGCTCCCCAACTAGAGCCAAACCAAGACTTTAGATGAAATATTTTTAAAAGTGATCAGCAACACTGAGATATACAGAAAAAAAGTGTCTTTATTAGCATTGTTACAGGCAATGCATACATAAGAACTGATCCTTAAAGTGTACAACCCCCCAGCCAAGTTTAAAGCAAGAGAATCAGCAGATTGAGATCTATATTGTACACGTGTGCAGTAACAGGATCTCTCTGGACCTTCCAACAGAATAGACTGAAATCACTTTACAAAAAAAAAAGTAAATAAAAATAACACCCATTTTAAAAAAGTGCCAGCTCCTAACAAGCTGGCGTGGCATCAAAAATATCCAACAGGGGAGTTGTCCAATCATAAAGAGTTCCTGTAAGGTTGGAGTATTGCGTCGTCCACACCCTGCATCTGCCAGGCATCGGGTTTAAAGCTTAGTACAAAACAACACACCCAAGAGACAAGGTGAAATTGAGACTTCCAATTTCAATTCTGTCAGTTGTTACTGAATTTTTAAATGCATCATCAGTGGAATTAACACCATCGCTGGATGGCAGCAGTACAGAGAATGAATTTTTTCCCTTTGTTAAGAGTTCTGAAATAGAGTCAGTGTGAATTAGCAACATCCCTCTCTGGTATCTTTAGCTGACACAACCTTAGGCCAATTCCAGAAAAGCACCCTTAAAAACTTTTAGCTTGTTTTTCTAAGTGGGTAAATATTTAAACTAGTTAGCAAAATTAAACACCAGAATTTTCAAAAGTTATTTTTTTTGTGCATAGTTAAATGCTGCAAGATGATTTCACATTTAATAAAGCAGACTTTAAAGAAGAAGCAATTTGCAAGAAGAGGTGTTCCCTTACAATATCAATCTCAGCTCAGGGGAAACGTGTGGGTTTGTTTTTTTTTTTCTGAGCCTCTTGCAATTGCTTTTCACCTACACTGGATTTTAGTGCAAGTCATTAAATGGTTTGATATCCAGCATGGCTCCTCTTCCTGCCAATCAAGTAAGCAATCAAGACAATCAGAACAAGACCAGCCAGGGCTGCACCAACTATGATAGGGATCAGCATGTTGTTTTCATCCAGCTGACATTCTTCCACTGAAAAGAGAGGGAGGAAAGATCCAGGTTAGGCACCAGTGCACCAGCTGATGGCTGCAGCCAGAACTTCCACCTTCCCAGCTCAACATGAAAGACAAAACCAGCTCAAACTGACTTCCAGCTTAGCTTGCCAAAAACCAGAAGGAAGCAAAGTCCACTAACTGTAATTGTTCAGATGAAGTCTTCCTAGTATAGCACAGCATAGAGATTTATAATAATTTCCTTCCCAAGAGCCCTTATGGTAACTTAGCCACGATGAAGACATCCCTGCAACTCCAGACATTCTGCTTTAACCACAACCAAGGATCAACCAAGAGTCCAGAACTTCACCCCTTTCATACACCTGTCTGCACACAGTCAGGAGGGACAATTAACATTCTTCCTTAACCTTTCTCTGGACCACAAAAAACAAGTCCTAATTGTTTCAAAGCTTTTTACATACCTCTCACACTAGCTGACCCCTGATCAGCCCCCACAGCATCTGTGGTAGGGCATGCAGAGACTAAGCACAGCACCCACAAGCTCACATTTGGCTGCAGAATATTTATATCTATGTGTACTTCACAAATCTCAGGTTCCCCATAAAAACATGAAACTCTTACCTGCCCCAAATTTGTCACCATCAATCTTGAAGACCTGGACCTGAACGTTAAATACATTGACAAGGGCTTTGTCTGTGACCTGGAGATTCTCCTTCATGCTGCACTTGTAGGAGTTCCCTACTGTAGCTCTCAGCTCACTCATGCTGTTGTTGGTGGCTTCAAACTGTGGAACTGTTAAGAAAGTCTCATTATTACAGAATCCTGAAGAGCAGGAGCTGTAAGCTCATAGTTTAAATTAGATACATTCATCCCCAGCATTTCCATCATGTCATTTAATGCAGGCAACCCTTAATATTTATGGTGAAAGTTCACTTCTTACAAGTCCTTACCTTTTGCTTCAGAAGGCAGAGTTGTGATGATGTTCATACCTTGCAGGAAGAATTTTTCAGCACTTGCATTCTTTAAAAGAAAACAACACAAAGCAGTGGTTGTGATTGAAACAATGATGCACAAGATGAGCTGGTCACCTTTGGGTTCAGTGCTGCGTGCACCTCGAGAAAGGTGTGCCAAGGGTAGCCCAGAGTTAGGGGCAGCAGCCAAAGGGAGAGCTTAGCTGCACTTCAGGAGAGAAATGCACAGAACGTATGCACCTGAGGGATGGGAGCAGGGCAGAGGAAGAGGGACTGTCACCCTAGGCACAGTCCCACCCGTGCCTCAACCAGCCCAGTGCAACGGCCTCACCTGGGCTACAGACAACTTCACTTAATGGCAAGCAGGTCTAGGTGGTCACATTTGCTCAATCCCATGAGCGTTACAAGGAGCACGAGGCTCTGAGGAACCCAGGGGGTTCAGTGCTGAAGGGGCAGGGCAGTGGGACAGCCCCCCCTGGCCAAGCCCTGCAGACCCCCTGCCCTGTGCCAGGCTCTCACCAGGGCGAAGCGGAAGACGACACTGGTCCTCTCGAAGGTGGCAGCAGGTCTAGGTGGTCACATTTGCTCAATCCCATGAGCGTTACAAGGAGCACGAGGCTCTGAGGAACCCAGGGGGTTCAGTGCTGAAGGGGCAGGGCAGTGGGACAGCCCCCCCTGGCCAAGCCCTGCAGACCCCCTGCCCTGTGCCAGGCTCTCACCAGGGCGAAGCGGAAGACGACACTGGTCCTCTCGAAGGTCAGGTTCAGGAGGGCAGACGTGTTGTCACATCTCCCAGAAGAGGTGGTGTTAGGAGGGATGAAATTCAGCAAATCCAAACCCACCTGTGAGGAGAGGAGCAGTGATGTTTGAAGGACACACACACACCCCACCATACACTCAGCTGACTTCTGGCTTGCTGGTGCTCCCAGGCACAGGGTGCTGAGCAGAGGAAGGTGTGAGTCACAGGCTGGTGTAAGCTGCACCTGAGCTGCCAGGCTGGTTCTGTGTGCCTGACAAAGCTGTCTGCTGCAAATAACCTGCTGCTTTCTCCACACTGAGCTTCTCTGGTCCTAGCAGCACGAGGAAAGACATCAATGACCACCTCTGCAGAGGGGGCAGCCACCTTCCTGTGCACCACCACACACCCCATTAGTGACTAAATCCTGTACAGACACCTTCCTCCTCACCAGGTCCTTCATCACCAAGATCCAGCTGAAACTACACAAAAGGAGCCAAAACTTGCTTGCCTGCATTTGTGCTCATTCCCTCACAGTAAGCCACAGGATAGGAAAAAGCATTTGTGATCAAATCTCCTTATACCAAAGCTCTAGAGAACAGAAGAGGTTTGCTGGCCCTTGCTGACTGTTTCCTACTGGGGGCATTTCACAGCCACTCCTGGGATTACCCCTCAGAGCTCTGCCTCACCAGTCAGCAAGGAGCAGGTTTGTCCAGGGGGCTGCCAAGCTGGGCTTTGCATCAGCCAAGGGAAAGAAGTCACAAGCCTGTCTAGTTTCACAGGAGGAACAATCCCTTCTCTTCTAACAGCCATTCACTGCTTTCAATCAGGTGCCTCAGGCCAAATTCCTGTGTTTTATTTAACAGTTTTAAAATCTTGGTTAGATGGCAGCTTGGATGATAAGTTTCCACATACTCATATCTTGGTATTTTTTACTGCTTCTGTGGAATGGCTGTATACACTTACTGGGTTTGACAGAAAAGTTAAGTACTCCTCCTGAGTGGAACAATCTTTAACAACCACTTTTAGTAGCAGAGAACTCTTTGGGTCTTCACTAGTCTGAATTATGCAAGTCGAAGAGGACAACCATGGATGAGCACTACAATAAACTGGGATTTCAAAAGCAAAAAATTACCCTATAATAATTTACCAAGTTTCCCCCAAAGAAGGAATCTAAAGGCTTTGCAGTCAAAGGAAAAAAAAAACACCAAGTATTACCTTTTCATCTTTTTTCAGATAGGTGATATTAAGCTGCAGCCCCATGGAGGCAAGCACACAGGTGCCATTGGGACCAGTCACGTTGTATTTACCAACTGCAGGGTCTGGGGGTGATGCAGTTGGGGCTGGGCTGGTTGTTGGAGCTGGGCTGGTTGTTGGAGCCTGGCTAGTCGTCTGTCGAGGGGTTGTAGGTGCTACAGCAGTAGTAGAGAGCATATCTTCAGCACATTCTGTCTCTGGAGGGAAAGGAAAACAATCATTACCAAACAAAAGGAACCTCTGGGGTCACCTACCTTTTTAATCCTCAAGGGAGAGGAGGCCAATTTTCAAGCAGCATTTCCTAATAGATGACAGTAAAAGCTGGGAAGCAATGGCAAAACGTTACCTAAACTCTTGTTGCAAAGTCTGAGACACTTCTAAGTATGAAAACATCACCTCTGCTGCTATCTACAGAAGTTCATGGTGACCACATCTGCTTTCATTCGGGTCTGGCATTCATTTCACTTTGCTGCCAAGTCAGGACAAACAGGACACTGCTGCTGACAGTGCCAGTGTCCCTGCTGCACATTCACAAGGCTGAGGTGAGTAACCCCCAGACACTCTGGGTGCTCCTGTGCTAGAAGCAGAGAACATTCTCCTGCCCACTGTTCCAAGTGGTCTCCCAGGAGACATGTTGTTCTCCTTCCCCACTCTCCATTATCTGATCAGTTTGTGAGGACCCTCTGTCATTATTTTGGCAGTACCCACAGTAACATTAAGAGATCCTGCTGCACCTCTGGAGCCCTCGTAGCTGTGCTGTGGCTCTTCTATCCTCAAAGGGACTCTAAGGCACCCCTCCTGATAACAAATGTCCTACTACACCCTCTCACACCCATCCTCCCTTTAGCCCTGCCTCTGCAGCCACCGACTGTCTCCTCCCTTCATCCAGGCCAGCAGCAGCTTCCAAGGCAGGAGAGAGAGGAGAGTGGCTCTGCTTTATTTGCCAGAGTACTCCAGCACCTGGCAGCAAGATCTTAACTTGATCTGGGAGACACGAAGGTTCCTGCATTGAACATCTAAGCCAAAACCAAAGGTCACAGCAAAGACATTGCTGCCATGGAGGCCTGAATGTTCCAAGCCAAGGTCAACCCCACGTGTCAGGATAACAGCTTGCAACTCTGTAAGGACAACAGCAACTGCAGCAGCAGCAAACTGACTCAAAGGGCCTGCTTCTAAAATTGAATCCATGCACATCTTACAGAAATCTAATAAATATCCTCTAAAAGCAGCATTTTAATTTTCAATTCTGGCTCAGAAGAAGGAAGGAACTCTAACCACACCTTCCAAAGTCAGACTCCAACACAGCACACTGACCTGCCAGGAATGGAGCAGAGGGAAGGTGGGTGAACAGAGAAGTGACCCTATCTTTTGAAAGCTAATGCTGGCCAGGAACCAAACTGTGATTATTCCCTAAGAAATAAACCCAACGACAGCTTTACTTGGTACTTCAATGGAGTTTCCCTCCATCTGCAAGACCTCAACACGTGCAGCCTCCTGCTCCAGTGGCAGAAACCACCAAACCACTCCCAGTGGAAGCTGCCTGAGCTGCAGTCCTGATGCAGTATTATTACTGAACTGGTTTACAGCACAGCTCCTAGGAACTCCTCAGGACAGATCTGAAAAGCAGACAAATTCTTACACCTTCTTCTGACAGGTACATGCAAGCAGCTGACAAAACCACCAGCAGCAGGGATCAAATGAAAGCCTTTTCTTCAGAGCTGCAGAGAACTGCTGCCGTAACACCAGTCACTAATTCCAGGTACACTGACACAAGTTAGAGACACACATGTGCACTGACTCTCCTCTTCAGTGAGCCTTATCCAGATCACCAGCAGAAATATCCTCTAATGAAAGAGTTGCAGAGAAAAAAGGTTAGGTCAGAATTCTGGATCTGAGGTTTATCAGTGATTAGCTGCCAAATGGACAGGTGAAGTCTCAAACCTACAAGAATGGAAAGAAGTAGCTGATCTGGAAAGAATAAATGTGATTCCAGGGCCAAGAATAATTAAAAAAACAGGATAAATTGAGAATTCCTTAACCATCTGATAAAAAAACAACAAACACACAAAATAAACTAAGGAGGAGAGAGAGCTTCCTGTGCAGTAGGTATGGAAGAAAAAAAAATCTGGGTGCAGACCCAAGAGAGTAATAAAAACTTAAGATGATAACTTAAAAAATGTGAGCAGCAGTATGGGTAACAGAACACTGACCAAAAAAACCAAAAAGCTTGAACCCAGAGCAGTGTCTACCCCAAGACCATAGGAAATCACATTTTTACTGAGAATCAATAGTTTCACCAAGACAGTGATAGCACAGGATAGGTAAAAGCTGCTCTGGAAAAGTGATCATGGCAAGTTAAAGCATTTTATTGATCTAAGAAAAAAAAAAGGAAATACAGGAGTAGAAAATAAAGCAAATTCTGTTTAATTTGTGTTGCATAAAGGAACATCCTCCAAAAATCATGCAATATTGAATTTTTGAACCAAAGGACTCTGTAAGAACAGGTAACAGTTGGTCTTAAAAGGCAAAATGGAACGGAACAGACTGACCAAGAGAATGGCACACACTGAGATCCAAGCCAGCCACGTGAGGCAGCCACAGCAGTCAGTGCCAGCACTACTGTGGGTCAGACAGTACTCTGCATTTCTCAGAGCTAGGGCACAAGGTGGAGCTGCACCTGCAGAAGGCACCTGTTCAAAGGTACCCATCCCACACCAGCACTGATCATGCCAGTTTTAAGATTCATTTCAATTTAACAGATGCATAAATAGGATTAACAGCACAAGAAAAGTTCTACGTTGTTCAGGAGAGAGAAAGGCTTTTACTTGCCCCAAAAGTAAGGCAAAAATTCATCACTCCTTGAGCTAGTAGGGGTGATCAGTTGAAATGATTCTTCCTGTTTGCAGGGTGCTCCCACAGAAGCAAAGGACACGGACACACTATGAATTAGTTTGTTTTCTGTGACATTCCAAATTGCTTTTCAATACCAGCCATGGGGACAAAAAGTCTCTTTGTGATGGAGGCTGACAGAGCAAGAACACCCCTGTCAGAGCTTGCACAAAGCCTCCTGTAGGAAGCCATGCACATATCTGCCCCCCACAGCCAGCTCTCTGCTGCCTGCCATCATGTCACCCATTCTCCCCAGAGCACACAGCAACTGCTTCAATTCACACTGGCAGAGGCATAATACTTGGAAGTCACCAGATACTTCTCAAACTAGGATTTCTGGCCATGTGCCCAGGCAAACTCCTGCAGCATGAAATACTCCTGAAGAGAAGGAATGTTCCCCAATACCTGTACAAACCTCATGGGAACACAGTGCACAGTCCCCTGAGTCTGAATGTTGACAACCCTGCAGAGAAACCCTGAAGCAGGTCTGTTCATTTCAAAAGATGCTGCTCTCAGAGCTTAGATCCAGTCTGTACCTGCCTAATTAAGATTACTCAGGACTTAATTATTGGAGATATCAGCCCACCAAGTATGTTTTCTGCTGCAGGATACCTACTGTTCTTACTGATGGTGCCATTTGTGAGAAAGGCTTCCAAAGTCATGTTGCTGAAAGTAATATTCACATTCTTCATACTGACATGCTTGGAGTTGATGCAGATGTATTTTGTGCCCAGATATGCCTGAATAGTAGTTTTGTGAGACACTTTTGTCACTTCTCCTGTAAAAAAAAAAGATGACATTGCATTAGCTTGTAGCAGTATTTACAGAAACAAATCAGTCTGACATCTGGAAGGGTTACACAATGAGAACAGGAAGTTTTCATTTTACCTGCAGTTGCATTAGGGAACAAAGTCCCATCTGACAGATTGTAGTGGAAAACTAGCTCTTCGACTTCATATTTGTCTGCATTTTCTGAGAAATTCAGGCTTAATGAATGTCCTGCTCCAAAACCCAACACCAGGATTGGATTAGAGGTGTTGGCTTTGCCACAGGAGCTCTGTGGTTCTACTGTAGCGTTTTGGGGAAGGAGAAAGTGTGCCAGCTGTGGGGCAGAAAACAAAACACAAGGAAATGAGATGATGCAGGAGCTTTCCCTTACTGCTTTTAAAAATCCTGTTATAAAACATTCAGCTGACATTCACACATGCCATGTTTACATCCATACCTGTAGAGAGCAAGTACCATGCTACTGGCACTGCTAAGATTATTGCTCTCTGAAATTTGGGGACAAAACTCAGACCTTCCTCCCCCCTCAGCTAGCACTCTGGGTTTGCAGGTGCTTCTGAACTAGGTGAACCAAACCTGGCAAACTCTGGAGATGTGAAAAATGGGATCATTTAAGCTTTGCTTCTTGTAGTACAACTGAGCAAGAACAGCAGTACATGGTACAACCTACAGTTTGGCTGCAAGACTTGGAGTTTATTACACATTGAGAAGTAACATAGCACCTGAAGAACAACCCAAGTTTTACTTCAAAGTTTTGAGCTCATTGCATACAAGAAGGAACAGCCAAAAGCATGTTGTGAAAGCAGTGCCTTGGGAAGGCACACCTGCATCCCAGTATCAGCAGGATTTCACACCATGAAGAAGTGGACTAGGCAATGACACTGATGGCTAAGGAGAAAAATCAACTCCCAGAGTGCCTCAAAACACACAACTGCAATGAAATGATAAATAACCCACCAATTTCTTTTCAGTAGTAAAGATACCAAAAGCAAACTGAGGAGCAGAGTATTTGTGAATAAAAATGCTTAACTCCCCATCCTGCTAATATGGAACAAGGATGCACTGCACAAGTCTGCAGCTACACTGACAGCTAGAGATTTGCTCAGTGAAAAGTTCACTGCTTTCAGTGAAGTTTAAAAGCTGCATGCCAAAGACAATTTCAGTTCAGATTTAGTCATTTAAATATGGCCAATTTCCCCAAAACATGACTGGTAGCAGTTTTGCCTTTACAGTTGCAATGAAAGCCATTTTAGCTACCCCTAGGACTGGGGTGGAATCTCAGTCACAGAAGTAATTTCACAATTATATCATCTGCTGTGGTTTCAGACAGCTTTAACCCTTTTTCATAAAGTGGATGCAACATGACTGAGGGGTGGGAAGTCTTTACTGATGCAGTTCTTCATGCTTAAATATTTGTTCAAAGTTTAACTACTGCCCACATGCAGGAGTATCACAACATTTGATAAGCAGAAGTTAGAGACAAGCCATGAGATCCCCAGCCCCTCACCTCTTTTTGCCCATTGCTTTTGTACTCCACTGAGAAGGCTGCTGTCAGGTCAGCAATGATGCAGACCTTACCACTTGAGTCTTTCACCTCAAATGAAGAGGAAACCTGTAAAAAGCCTGTTAAGAACAACAAGTGGTTAACTTGGTGTCACATGAGTTTTTATGTTTCATCCCAAAGACAAATATGTATCACTGTGCATTTTAGGAGTGCCTCCTAAACAGCAGCTGAGCTTGGAAACTTGGACATCAGTGTTCTCTATACTAGCTGCAACATCACTAACACCCAGAGGACAAACTTCACACCCCATTTATAAAGAGACAAAGCCACCCAAACCGAAACTGTTGACTTGCTGGGTCCTCAGAGGGCAAGGAAAACTTGCAGCAAACACCAGTCATACTGTTGGAGGAAGCTACTCGCTGTTCACCCTACACAGCAGCTATTTTGCAAGCTTCAGCCAGCAGAATCCACCTTAGCAGAGCTGATCCTGCCTGGCTGTAGAGCTCAGCCTTCCCCCAGCACACCAGGCAGCCTCTGCTCCCACCGTGCCAGGCCACTCAGCTGCACATGCTCTGAATGCAGCATTTACAGAGCTTGGATCCACTGCAGATGTTTGGGAGGGACTGCCAAAAATAGCGTGATGGGAGCATGCCACCCTTGCCAGGAGAACTCCCCTTTAATGTCACCATGCTCCCTGTGCTGGAGGGGAGGCTGGGGGCCAAGACCTTGACACAGGCTGAGGTTATGTTTGCCCAAGTGGTTTAACCCCAGCCTGAGCTGCTGACCAAAGCACAGCTGACCACAGCAGCACTGGCCTCACAGGGGCACGTGGAGAGCTGCGTGGGGTCATCGTTTCTTTTAGACCATCCACTGCCAGTGGAGCCTCACCCCTGAGCTGTGCTGCAGCAGGCTGGACACAGCAGAGAGCTGGTTATCTCAGCTCTGTGCTAAGGGCTGACTGGATGTGCCCCTGTGTCCAGAATCACACCAAGGTGTTCAGAGTGTGTTATTGTACAGCATTTTGTTTTTCTGATTGCCTGTCACCACACATCTGAAGCAAACTGCACCGTTTTCACACTAGCCATTTATCAGTTTGCAGTTCCAATAACTTCAGTCTTGCAGAAATCCTGATAAAAAGGCAGCTGCAAGACATAAAACACTATCTCAAACAAATAAACTTGAGTCAAACACGTTAATCCACTCAACTGCTGAAATGGCAAAGAGATGCAGCTGAGGGTTTATCCATTAGCTAGCCTCCCTCCAAGAAGTTTTCAAAAAGCAAGTCCCATTTCAGAACTTTTCATTACAGAACTGTGGTGTGTACAATCATTAAGACAATTATTAGGAAAAATTGGACTTTTGCCAGCTGGACCTCAGGAAAAGGCCCTTCAGTTGTCAGAACACACTGGAAAAAATTTCTCTGGCACTCAGCAAGCATTTTCCCTTGTTGCCTTCCCCTTAGCAACAGTACATCCTCCCCCAGCACCAAAGGAGGCCAAAACCTGAGCTGGGAGTCATACGCTTCACCCTGTTGTTTGAAGAGTCTAGATTTGAAACCAGAGAGAGAAGAAACTGCTTAAGAAGGTATTTCAAAGCAAAACTGTCCTACCTTTGCCTTTATGTCCAGCTCATGATGTTCATTAAGGAACATCCATTCAAAAGGAAAGTGCTATTTACTGCAGTTCAGAGCAGTACAACCAGGAGCTGATGCTCTTCTGCAGGGAAGTTTCAACTTGAAAAATTTCCTTCAGTTTGAATTTACCCCTGGAACTTGTTTACATTTTACCCAAACACTTGTTTTTCTAAAGAGCCAGCTGCTTGCAGTGCCTTCAAGATTTCTAGCCTAGCACAGAGGCAGGGAATAACAATCCACAGCTACTTGAGCTAACACTAACAATGGGAAAAAGAAGTGCTAGAAGGAAAACCTTCAGTGTGCATATGCTGCCTCCCTTGTTGATAGCTATTAAAAATCTTGCCAGTTTAGAGCTACAACTGAACAAGTCATGGGCAGTAAAATAAGAAAAAAAATGCAGGGGGGGGGAAAAAAAGACTGAAAAACAATTAAGAAACACATTGCTGACCTAAAGGAAAATGGGACAGACCTGCCTATTCCAGGGGATTCAGAGAACAACAAAAGACAACCAGAAAGCACCAAATGGAATGCAGACTCTGGGAATGAAGAGCTGACAACTCACCCTCAGCAGGCTTAAGGAACAGAGAATAAGACAGAGACATCCAGCACGGGACACTGAGCTGGCATCAGTGGAGTGCAGGAGGGCTGTAAGAGACAGCACTGTGCTGCAGCATCATCCACTCCCAGGGGCTTGGAACAAGGCAGATGCAGCCCAGTGAAAAGGAAGGGGCATAGATGGAAAGAAAAACTAGCAAAAGAACCCACAGAAGAACAAACACAGCCGTGGAGGGAAGGAGGGTCCTGCCCACTCTCCACGCCAGGCAGGTTTGCAGCCAGCAGCTGTTGAGCTTGTGAAGGCAGTTTCAGCATCAAGGAGTGATTAATGCATGAATCATCACCAGCCCACAAATAGTAAGAGCCCACAGTCAAAATGTCAAGAATACAGGAAAGTAAACTGTTGTGGAATCAATCTGGCCTAGGAATATTTCTCAGTTATATAAAATATGGTTCAATTTTATCACAGCATATCTATAAATTGAGAATATAGCTTCTGCTTCTCCTAACACTAACATTCTTTGCCATTTAACACAAAAACTGACACATCTTTCAGTTTCTTAACTTCAGACTTTAAAAGCTCTTCTTAACAAGCTGCAGCACCCTATTTGACAACTGTCTGTGCTCGAGCAAGGGCAGCACTTCAGGTTCACACAGCTAAAGAGCTCCAAGGCTGTTCAGCAGCAAAAAGTAAGTTCATTATTCATTTGGCTAGGAATGCTCATTATGGATATCTAGTAAAGAACTCATCAAAAAAGATACTAGGAATTTCATTTAGGGTAAATGTTTCCTTTCTGGAAAAGGGCTGCTTACATTTATTCTAGCTGCAGCTTTTCAATTGACAATCATAAAATCACCTCTCCCTTTATACCTCATTTCTGAAATTAGTCTCATGCAAGAGAAGACTGGAGGTAAAACTGTTGAAACAACAGCTAGATATGTCAACTGAAATAAATCCAGCATCCTTCCTTATTTAACATACCTGCATCAAAAAGCCAAGCAGAGCATACTAACAGTCTGAGAGACAAGTCAAAGAGAACCAAGACTTCCTTGGTTATCTAACATTTTAAAGAAATATATCTCCAAAAGTTTTGTTTTGAACTGAAAACTACTAAGCTAAGAAGAACTAGCTAGGACATTTCAACTGTCTAAATCAGAGCCCTTTTGAGAATGTCTACTAGAATGGTTGGATTGCCCATCTCTTGATCACACAGATGCTTTCAGGTTCCAATCTTTTGATAATTGAAATCCTGTTAGCTTTGTGCAGCAGCCCCTGTGTTACTGTCCCACTAATGGAAACCTACTGAGGGGGAAAGATTGATGTTTGTTGTGCTCTAAAAAAAGCCAGCAGATATTAATGGCAATTGTTTACACCGACTGCTTGCAAACAGGACTCCAGTTACTACAGTTAATGATTTACTTTGCCTCCCATTTTTATTAGAAACATGAAACTCTAATGATCTCAAACACAGGAGCTCATTTTATATAATTTGAGTTCAGAGCATCTCACCCACAGCCTGCCCATGCACAGCAAAGACTCACTTTGGCTACAGCCTGCCCTGCAATTACTGTCCAGCAGCACTCCCGAGGTGAGAGCTGCTTGCTGAGTGATGCCAGCACCACCCACCCATCCTGTGCCCAAGCTACAGCACGGCTGGGGTGCCCTGCCCCTTCCCCCAGATGTCCTCAGGGCATGCACAGCACACACTGCTGCAGCTGGGGCATTAACTCCAGGAGGCTGGAAGTGCTGCTGCCTAGCTAAAGGAGGAGGATTTTCTATTGTGCATGTGAACAGAAGTGCCCAGTAATTTACTCCTTCTGATCAGTTGGAAAGGTCCTGTCACCTCAGGGTCATGTTGTGAACAAAGTGGTGATCTTGGACTCCTAAATCTATGCCAGAGAATAGAAAAATCCATTAGAATTTATGCTCCCCTCTAATCACTTGTCTTCTAATGTGAGCACCACTCCCAGAGGGACAGCTGGTACAAGCAGTTTCTCAGGAAATGGTGTCAAGATCACCTGCTTAGCATCCAGGATCTATACTACCTTGGGATGCTACAGAGAAACCAAAAGCTTTAAAAATAATGTATTTTTTTACAATTTACTAGCCCAAACATTTCTGGGGAACAACTGCAAGCAGGAAAATCCCTTGACAGACTTGACGTATGAAACACTTTGTGCAAGCAAACTGATTAAGTTCCCAGCCCAGCCCTGAAGATGCATCCTTGTCAACTACCAGAGACAACTCCAGTCTCAGCCTGGTTATGTTTCTGATATCCTTCATTTCTGTTAAGGCAGTCATTTGTTTCTCAGTTTAAGTTCAGATTAATAACCTGTCTTCATAAACCAATCTCTAAAAGTACAAAAGCATTCTAAAGGAAAGACTAGTTAGCAGCTGCACACTTGCCATTTGGCCAGAAAATTGCACAACTGCATCAAGTTGAGTCACATGAAGCTTCTTTATGGTTTCCTATCTAGAGGAAGGAAGTCTTGGGATAGGTCTGTGGCAGCTGACTACAGGAGTCCCCTGGCAGGTCTGAACTCCTGTGGCTAGAGGGCTCTCAGCGTTCACGTGAGGCCGTTTGGCACTGCTCTGGTTAGTGCTGCTGCACCACACCACACAGCCAGCACACCCTCCGAGGGAGCTGGCAGCCTCACACCCCGGGCAGGGAGGAGCTCCGGGCTGGCAATTTAAAGAGAAAGCCTCCTCAGAGGACAGGAGTTTGGGAAAAAGATAAACCAACTGCCTGAGTAAAACCACTCTCCTGTGCTGTTGAGGAGAGAGTAGATCTCACCCTGTCAAGGAGAGCAAGGACATCCTGGTGTTCTTGTGTTACACGGGCTGAATTCTGCCTCGTTAAGCAATCAGAAGCCACTGAAGTTCAACCTAAGGAAACTAGATGTATCAAGTGTGGACTATTGTGCTCAAGCCTGAACACAGGAAAGGGAAGAGCC